TGAAGAAGCAAAAAGAGAGGCAGTAAGACTGAAGACAGAACCTTGCAGGAGCAGAGATTCCTTGTTAGGAGAGCTGGAATCTAGGAATACTTACCTCATCCTTTAGGGGGAAAAAACTTATGATGGGAAAGTCCAAATTAACTGTTTGAAGTCAAAACCAAATATTGCATAGTACAAGTTCCTGCCTTTTATGTTGCTGAATTTTTTTGCCTCCTGTTCTCCAAGTGTTATCAGAGGCCCCTCAAAGCACCTCTGTTATCAGAGGCCCCTCAAAGCAAAGGATGATCTGCTGCACTGCAGATCATCCTGCCTGTCCTGTCGCCTGACCTATGTATTCTTGTCATTGTGCCCTGGCCTTGTCTTCAAGCCTTCTGCCTTCTCACAAAGCCATTCTTATGCTTACTGCCTCATTTTTTCCTGCTGCCTGTCCAGATGCCTCCCACTTGCCTTCCAAAGCCTTGTAAAGATAAGAGCAGTTCTACTGCACTTAAGGGCTCAACATGAAACATTTATCATTTCCATGCTGGCCTTTCACTGCCAGCTCAATGGGGCAGAAATTGTCTCCCAGCACTCATGCCTCCATGTCATGTAGGACCCTGACACTTCTGAGGAGACCCCACTGGTGCTGCTCTGTAAATCTGTTTTACAGATAATATGCTGGCTTTGTTCTCAGTAATTCACTGTGCTAGCTTGGATACACTCCTGTATGAATCCTTTGTGCTCAGGAGAACTGCTGCTCTCTGCCCAATGCCAGGAGAGTTGGCAGGAGAGCTTTGTTTTTCCTGTCTCACCGAGGACAAACGGGAACCATAGAACAACTTGCAGTGACAGATGACACTGTTGCTATCCCCAAAACACTAACAGGATCAAATTCCATTCTAAATGCTGAGTGGGACACCACACATCTGGAAACCAGAACAATCTGGTACGTGCTGCCATGTTCACCTAACCCCTTCTACAAGTACAGCTGTACAGTGAGAGGTCTGAGAGGTTTTATTGCTAATTTTCTGACCAGGTTTTGCAGCAACCAGAAATCTCACTCCAACAAAACAAAAGCTTCTTTACCTCAAAAATATATAGGACAAACTTGACAGCAACCTCCTTAACCTCCTATGGAAATTGCATTGGCTCTGACTTTTCTCTCAGGTGCCTGTTTTCGAATACTCTGGTCTCCAGCAGACAGCACAAAACAGAATGGACAGCATGTTTCAAGGCTTTTGTAATCAGAGCCATCTGATTTGCCAAATTGCATCAGAGGTCAGAGACTGGCAGTAGCACAGTGTGGAGCAAATGATCGCTTTAAAATCCTGATAGGGCATGGGTCTCATCAGGAGGCAGCAGGCCTCAGAGCAGCACATACAGCCGTGCTTTAAATCTTTTGGATATTTGATGCATAAAGGCATCACTGCTGCTTCCAGAGGCCTCTTGGGCAGCCTGTGGGCAGCAGCTGCAGGCACAGCCTGGCTGTCCCGGCCCTCGGGCTTCCACCTGCCGAACCCAGGCCTGGAAGGAGGCTGGAGCCAGGTGGGGGTCGGGCTCCTCTCCCAGGACGAGAGGACATGGCCTAAGGCTGCGCCAGGAGAGGGCTGGGCTGGATCTGTGCAGCGCCAGAAGTGTGTCTCTCCTACGCAGTAAATTCCGTGATTCTGTGAGATTAGGGGGAATTCCATAGCAGAAAGGGTGATTAGACATTGAAATGGGCTGCCCAGGGATGTGATGGAGTCACCCTCTCTCGATGTGTTTAAGGAAAAACAGGGTGCGGTTGGACTCAATGATCTCTGCGGTCCTTTCCAGCCTAAGCGATTCTGTGATTCTGTGAAACCGAGGGCTGTGCACGGTCACCCCGGCCACAGCCACTGCCGTGCTCCCGCTGCTGGC